TGTCATGGTCCTTAGAATGTCCTAAAAATTTCACCCAAAACGGATGTGGTAAACTTGAGATACTGAATTTTCAAAACTATTAGATTTTCTGACTTATCTGCGACACATGATCGTTTTTTTAGGCATCCAATATATTAAGGATAAAGCATCCGTTTTGGATAAAATTTTTAGGACATTCTAAGGACCATGATATCTCTTCATGGGCAAAATTTTAGAACAAAATGCCGACTTTTGATTCTTCAACGAGTGCCTTGCTTGAGGTCCAAAATTCAGTGAAACAGTCATAAGTCGGCTCCAACTGCCTATAGGCATGAGTCCTTCTAGGCTTTGACTAGTGGCATTGAGATCTAGTTGTGGGCAAAACATGAACTCCAAGTTGAGGGGACAGCTCGGATATCTCCCTCGTTAGTATAAGATCTCATTCAATTATTTAGTTTTTCGAAAAACAATAATTTCAATCATTGAATTTACACCATAATATGCTTAGTTTTCAGAGTTTTGAGCTGAAAGCCTTAATTGAGTGTTTTCAATACTTTATCTAGGCCTTCAAAATCATAAAAATCTCTTCTCAAAGCCTCAAAATCGCTCCGGCTTTCTGAACAACCTTATTAGTTTAAAATCTGTAAAAAACAAAAGAGACATAATAGAAGATCCGCGAAAAAGTTTTACTGGTGAACACAATAGAAAACCTTAGATTGTCTCATGCGAAGGAACGAGAGGTGTAATATAACAGATAAACGAAGAAGATTACGTATGACAAAAATGATCAATTTACTTTTTTGAGAAAAAAATCTTAAGTTCTTGAAACTCTATTTGGTCAGAATCTGAAAGGAAGTGAACGAAATCAGAACAGTGGAAGAAATGATCAATCGTCAAGTAGGCCATCTGGTAAAAGTGGAAAGGTCGAAAATATATGAAAATGGACATAATTCTTGTTCAAGGAAATCCTAATATTTTTTTATGTTGCATTTTCTTCTAAAGTGTTTCTATGCGAACTGTTCAACATATATTAATATTAAGCATGTTTTGCTGGTATACTGTGATTGTATTGATGCAGTTCCTTTGTTTTAAGTTAGCATAGTTAGAAAAAGATAGTGATACATATTGAAAGAATATTGAATATAGCATTTACTTCACTAATGAAATTTGAAAATAACTGCTTTACAACTACATTGAAAATTTCCCGTGACTGGTCGTGACCAGGTTTTGGTCACGGTCACGTAACGGTCACGACCGTGACCGTAACCGTGACCCACGGCAGTCACGCCGATGTGTAGTTATAATACTTTCGATCGTGATAAAAGATGTAGTCTATCTCATTCGTATTTCATCTAAAAGTGCTCGTTTTGAAATAAAAATGGACAAAACAAGAAAAAATATTTCGTGCATTCATTTTCTACACGAAATTATTTGTTAGGATTTGAAAATAAAGAACAAACAAATGGAATCGTTTTATGTTTCGAAGAAAAAGAGAATAAATAACAACAGTTAATTCTAATTTATCGATAGAAAATAAAGAAAATGCTTATGTAAATCCAGAAATTTGAAACAATTTAAAGCACAAGGTGTAAAATGATCTTCATAGTCAATATGACTGAAACCAGTTAGTTTAGGGGAACCTATGAAGTATTTGCTTTATATTCGAATAATATCGTTATTCCAGTAGAATGTAATCACTTTAAGAGTTAGAAAACAAAGCTAAGATTGATTGTAAACAAGATAAAACAAAAAATTGTTTAACGATTGTTCTATGTAGATCATTATTAAAATATATTTTCCAATCATTTTAATAGAATTAATTTGATTTGATGAATCAATTCTTCAAGATTATTATGATTTAGTTCTTTTGATTTTCCTTTTCTATTTAGGCATCTAATGAATTAAGAACGAATTCATTAAGTAGTGTTCGATGTGCTGAATTTTGTCTTCCAAGTTGTCACTATGGTTTTAACAATGCAAATCATATTGGCAAACATCTTGTGTCTCTTATTAGTACATATATGCCTCATTTACAAACTTTACGTCTTTGGCGACCAGATGATTTTCCTTGGACATCTAGTAGGTTTATTTTAAGCAAACAAAACTAATCACAATTAAATCGCTCATTAATCTATGATGAATATTATTCTTAGTTTGCTTTTCTTTTAATTTTTAATTTTATTTTGTACTTTATTAATCATATAGATATTTTTATAATGATGTATAGCTCAAATTGAATGAAAAAAGTACTCTTGTATCAATTCGAGGAATTGTAATTTCGCCAAATGTGAGTTTCGCCAATTGGCGAATTTTGTGGGAGAATTCTTCATTTTTAATAAACTGAGTTTGAACTCAGCTAGAGGACTTGATATACTAACTGTTGAAACTAAATAAGTTGGGATATATGAAAGTACAATAGTGAAAAAGTACAATTGGCGAAACTCGCATTTGGCGAAATTACAGAAAGCCAAGATCGAATGTTTTAAAAACGTTGATTTTATTTTCGAAATCTTTAAACTGCAAATAACAATTGTTGATCGGATTCATTTTTTCTTTTTCTAATTTAAATTGATGTAAGATATTGTGTCTTATACATCATTATGGATTAATTATGAAAATATTGAACAATGAATTATGTTCAAGGAAGACAAAATAACTTAAATTGTGAAATTTTCTACCGAAATATTTGTCTATTTTATTTATTTAACTATCTTTGATATCAATTTTAAGTTTAGAAAGTAATAATATTGACATCAATACACTTTATTCTTTTAAATCGTATTTTAGTAGCTATTATTTACTCACCTGTGATGAAATCTTTCAATCTTGTAAAATAGATCTTACTTCAACATTAAGCCAGAATCTATATGAATTTGAAATCAAGAATTATTTTATATGAATGAAATACTTTTTTATTGTTGTGTAAGTTGACACTATTTCGCTCCTAAATAGCGGGCTTTGCTATGTATTTTTCTATACAAAAGAGAACTAAAAAG